TATAAAATGTACTGGTGACATCTACTATTTTAATATGATAAATTGGTAAAGTACTTCATTTACATGTTTATTTAAATATCTGTTTTCATATGTAAGTGGACCCTCGTAGATTTTTAACTAAGCTGCTAATAAATGAAATGAATAGTCCACCTATTGAGTCATAGTAACACTTAAATAGATAATCTGTAAAAGATGAGTTTGAGCCGTTTTTTTGTGGGCACTGGCTCTAGTAATACAGAAGAATAAGGGAGGGGGCTGCTCAAAATACATCTTTTAGCCCTTCAGTTCCTTCAGGATAGATGCACTTACTCTAACAGAAAGTTTCTCTTAGATAGAAACTCTATTAAGATGATGCTATTAATCATATGCTTATAATTAAACTCCCTCCGAATTCTTTAGTTTAGATTTATATCTAAAGGTGTGTTGAAACCCAAGTGGGAATTGTTTGTTGTTGTTACACAGCTGACAATGGAGATATTTAGTGTTCTGTCTTCAAATGTGAGGTTTCGTCTTGGCTCCATTGTTCTAAATCATACCGTGAGAGCATGTCAGAGCAGCTGGTCCTTGGCCGTGTGCTGAACCCCTCATCCTGCACCCTCCACCCCCCACCAACTCCCCTACCTGGCTGTTCCCCAGATTTGAAGAGGTGGGATAATGGATCCAGAATGTGAGAGGCAGACTCAGGAAAACAGTGTTTCTGTGAATGAAGACACACTTCCTAATCCTATCAAGTAGATGAGAGAAGTTTGCCTGATTTGTTGTTGTACCTCAGCAGGAGCTCTGACAGGGCGCCTGCCCCGTCCTGCACCTTCGTCAGAGCTCAGCCAATGCCATGCCTGTTGTTAGTCACTGTCAGTTCCTCTCCTTGAGGGTCCTCCTCCTGTTTGCTCACCTGCTGCCTTGACCAGTATGACATCTTTTCCAAGAACTCGTTCCTCCTGACCTCACGCCCAAAGTCTGGGAGACCAAGTTTCGCCAGCCTTCCCTCCGCAAGGAGCACCATGGTTGCACTATTGTTTTTATTTCTTTTCTTGTGCCCCCTTCTAGAACCTTTAAGAGCCTCTGTGTCAGGTGGAAGCTCTCAAGCAGCCAGAGGCGAGGAAGGCCAGCAGCCCATGGAGTCTCTTGGTGCCTGGAATGTCCTGGATGTGTCCTGCATTAGGTGCCTTGTGCTCCTGGCCCCTTCCCTCCCAGCTCCAACGTCACATGCTGGCGTTTCTTTGGTCTCTCGTCCATTCTCAGCTTGGCAAACTGCTGGAGCTCTGGGCCTCCTCCCCAGCCCTCACGTGTCCTCTACACAAGGAGGGTTCCTGCTCGCCGCTGGTACTCAGTGCCCTTCTCCCCTGCAGCCTGGTTTTGCCGTTGTCTTGTGTTTAACATATAAAAAGATTTCAAAACAGGCACAGGGGACACCGATATTAGCATCTGAGTCCATGGGTCCTCGTCATTGGCACAGAGTGGGAGTGCAGTCCGCGGGAAGGAGAGAGGAGCATTGCAGGGGCGGGAGGGGGCGCGGCTGCCCTGGGAAGATCTGCAACGGTGCGCTGTGTGAAGTCAGTGGCTCTAAAGTCAGATGGGACAAAGGAGAGCCACTGATCACCCAGTCCATCCAAAACCAGGCTCTGCCCAATGGCAGACCCACTCCGTCCAGAAACACTTATGTATCACGGAGGCCCCATCCGTACACACGCACTGCTCTGCACTGGGCCACTCACTGCTCTGCACTGGGCCACGCACTGCTCCGCACTGGGCCACGCGCACTTTTGGCCTTTGGGATAGGAAGATGCTTCACTTCCAGTCGTCCTTCTTGGCATGTGCTTACATTCATCTGCTTTGTGTGATTGTCCACATCTTTGCATTGATCTTCAGAAAATCCTTGGGCTAAGAACAAGATCCATCCCTCTCTGTGTTTTAGTGGAATTGTTGCTGAGTTGAACCAGATGTGGACAGTGATTATAGGACAGGAAGGGTGTCTGGGTGGTGCAGTGGTTTAGTGCTACGTTGCTGACCAGCAGGTCCACCCTCCCTGTGTGAGAAGGTGCAGTGGTCAGCTCCCTTGGGTTACGGCCTCGGCAGTGCACTAGGGCAGCCCCAGCCACTCTGTCCAGCGGGGACACTTGTTCAGAATTGACTCGGCAGAATGGCTTGGGTTTATTTTGGGGAATTTTGTGCCAGAGAAGGAGGAGAGGCTTGAAGATTTTTCTGGGATTTAAAAGTTGCAAGTGTGGCAAATGAAGGTGTTCGTGGTGAAGAATTTTGTGGGAGTGCCCCCTTTTCAGAAGGATGACGAAATTACATAACAGTAAAGGACCCATGGGCGTTTCAGGTTCAGTAACCTTTAGAATTCCTGACTGAGGCGTTCCAGGCTGCCCTGGCTGCCCGCCCTTCCCAGTAAGGGAGGCCACCCTCACCCCTGGTGGGTTTTACGAAGTAGACCTCATCCTAACAGATTGTCAGTTCAGGAGGTGGGGGGGGGCGTAGGCCCTCAGTCCACTGTGGCAGCCCTGAGTGACTCGACAGAACCCTCATTCAGGTGGGCATGGTCAAGGAGGGTACCAGCCTCACAGTGTCTCCTGCCCCTGGTTTCATCTCCCTGACCCCAACTCTGCTCTCCCTGCACACGCTGGTGACCCTCCCTATTCTAAGAGCTCTAGTACATCCCCAGGATGCCTTCCCTCATCTGCTCTACTCTTACCCCACCTCAGTTCCTTTTTTTTTTGAAAGTGAATGTGGCATTCCCTTTGCCCCTGTGGAAATGGCTTTGGTGAATGGTGTGTGTCTTCCACCAACTACTGTGGGGTCTTGGTTTTCAGGTCTTTGTAAGCAGACACACAGCAACCCCGGCCACTAGCCCCATGCCTTCTGGGGGCCTTTTAACTGAACAGAACTGCAGTGCAGCTGAGCTGCTTTCTGTTCTGGAAACTTCTTCAAGGTGGACTTCTTGAAGGCGCCAACAGGAGGCAGAGTTCTCAAGTGGAGGACAAAGCCCCCTGGCTTGTTTCCTGAGAGCAAATATTTCCGAATATTTGAGAGTTCTGTCCCTGTGCTCGCAAGAAGCATCACCGATGGGGAGCTCACCGCCTTCATGAGGCCGGTACATTGATAGCCTTTCAGGATTTCTCAGAGCCCTGCTACCAGAACTCGTTCTTGCAGCAAATGTTAAACACATGCGTTTTTCTGAAATTCAAGGTGGCCTCAGTTCCCAGTTGCCTGGCTTTTGTCATCTCGGGACAGGCTCTAAGCTTCCGCCGAACATTTTTATTACGCATGAATAATAGAGTGTGCCTACTGAGGTTCTGTGGATGTAATTTTGTTAAATGTACATCATGGTAGATTTAAAAATGAGGGATTTATTTTGTCATTCATAAAGTTGTAATGCAGTCTGGAGAATCTATTTGTTCAGAGATAGCATCTACTTAACCTCCTTATTTATTTCTTGTAGGAGAAGGTTAGATCCACAATAAATACATGAGGAAATAAGTAGATAGAGGAATTTATCTTGGAAATAAGATCCCTGTCATGGTTTTGAAATGTTAAATGCATGAAGGCCCGTCAACGAGATATACGGAGATGATATTTTTTTACAGTGCATTGAGAAGTATTTAGCTAGATTTGTCATTCTCTAGGACCAGTAAGCAATGATCCAATAATAGAGGAATTGGCAAGTCAGCTTTCCGTACACGGGTGGAATAGAGGACCTGGGCCCACACGTTCTATAGATAAGTTAATTGGCCACTTTAATATTAATGAAGTCTTTTCAATATTTTTATGGCGTTTTATTTATAAATATTTAGCAATTGTTCCTTACGAATTTTACTTTATGACGTAGTTTTACATGTAGTAGAAGAGGAAGTTTTATAGAACGCCGTGTGAGAATCTGATTTCAAGGCCTGGTGTTCGATTCTGCTTCGATAGCCGCTGTGTGGCTCGCTCTGCCTGCTGAGTTGAGGATCCTGTCCTGTGCCCAGGCCTGACGCTGTTTTTGAGACAAGGGGGACAGCCTCGGAAGAACACGCCCTTTCTCCTTCTCCTGGGCCATGTCAGCTTGAGGACACCTGGGCTGTAACCCTTGGATTGCACATCACTGCTGAAGGTGTGGCCTGGTTGAGGGTGGTGACGTGAGCTCATGCCACGTTCTTTGGTTTGCATGACAGGGCCATGGCTTCAGAGTTTGAAATTTTCAATATCAAATTTTAAAGCTCAGCACTCATTTCTTTTATTAGTTCTGGGAATTGCTTAAAATGAGATTGTGTTAGAAATGGTGTCAGAGGGTGCACTTTTGCGATGACTTCATGATGACACAGGCTCTTGTTTGTGGTTCCTCTTCATGGTATGAGGAGGCCGCTGACTGCACCATGTGCCACCATGCTTCAGCATGGTCCTGATGTTTATTCTGTTATGTTCACTCGGGAATTAATGAGGTTCCACTGTTCCCAAAGACCCCTCCATAGACATGTACACTGAGCATCTTTATTCTGAAGTTTCCCTAGCTGTGTGTGACACAATAGCACAGAGGGCCCCCTGGGTGAAAGCCATGGTGGGGACCGCAGGGTCGGCCCCTGCCCTGGGCCTGGCCTCGGTCCAGAGCCATTGCTGTAGCCCTGGCCCACCTCTGTCCCCGCAGCCACGTGCTGGCAGCCAGCTGGCCTGTCTGAGTGCTTTAGTACAGATAGCTTTTCATTTAGCCTTTGCTCTGACAGCGCCAGCCCTGGATAAGTGGTGTAGGCCTGTACAGGTGAAATCTATTCTCACATTTGCCTCAGGGGTGACTGGACTGTAACAGAATTTTTCAAACCCGTTGGGCCCAACCGCAAAGCAGAGAATAAATGGCTGAAGTGCTAGGCCTCGACAGAAAAATCAATGCCTGGTTATACAGACATGACAGACCAGGCCTGCAATTCTCCCACAAAAGTCTGCGCTCCCCACGGCGGGGCCGCAGCAGGGCCTGCCTGCAGGCCGGAGCACCACACTCACCCTCTGCTCTGCTTCCTCCCCCACAGGAAGTTCACATGCCACCTGTGCGACAGGAGCTTCACCGAGAAGTGGGCGCTCAACAACCACATGAAGCTGCACACAGGCGAGAAGCCGTTCAAGTGCACCTGGCCCACCTGCCACTACTCCTTCCTCACTGCCTCCGCCATGAAGGACCACTACCGCACCCACACAGGTCGGCCCCACATTCTCCCTGCCTCACCCTGCACACGCACCCTTATTCCCACGCTAACGAGGCTGGCAGGCCCCCTGCACCGCCTCCGCCGTGAAGGACCACTGGCGCACCCACACAGGTCGGCCTCTTGTCCTGCCTGCCTCCCATCCTGCACACGCTCCCCTTAGTCCCACAGCGAGCGAGGCCAGGCGCACCATCCACAGAGCTGGTTGTGACTGGGAGCTTCCTTTTGATCCTGGAGCCTCGGAATTGCTGTCAGGTTACACTTCCATGTGTGGTGTTCCTTCACATGCTCAGGCCCTCATTTATGTTCAGCTTCAATTTGAGAAGCTCATCATGGAGAACTCGTCTGATGTTTTTGTTCCTGATATAAACTGATTTCTGTAATATTATAAAACACTATTGAATGTGGGTTAGGTACTAAATGAATCAAATGCTGCTTTTTTGGGGGGGATGAGGACTTTCCTGTCTAGGAGTTTTTGATATTTACTATGGAGATGCTGATATGAATTGTGTGACCAAATTTCTAAGAAAATGTTACAAGTTCAAATGTTCATACATTCTGCCTTAAAACCTTTAAGAAATATCCAGAAGATAAAGGAATTTTAGCAAGAAGAGAAAAGCCTGTCTATGAGAGTGCTGGCCTGGGGAAGCCTGCTTGTTGACCTCATCAACACAAATCTTTGACCCCAGTTCTGTTTATCGTGTTATTTGCTTGTGACTTCCTTCCTGTTGTCCCGGTGCCTGGGTTTTGAACCGATAGGCTTACAGACGGGTCCTCTTCTCGGTCCTGCCAGCGATCCCACTAGGAAACACAGTTGAGTATGTCTGTGGTCTTTCTTTTACAGCTCTCTGAAAGCATTTTTGTTTCGGGGTGGGGGGGAAGAATACATTTTAATTGCATTCCTGGATGGTCTTCTGACGGTCAGGCATTGCTGTTAGAAATCACGAGTGAGGACATCTCCTGCAGCACTTTGTGGGGCACCAGGCCCCTCAACTCCCTGACAGGGGTGTTGACGATTTAAGGTCTCCAGCCGCCCTGAGAGATCACATCTATCGAGCTGCAGATGAAAAGCCAGTACAGATGTAATTTATCGTCGGCGTTTCCTTCTGAAGAATAATTGTGGAGACTTGGCTAGATCAATAATATGGATTTTTGTTGTTAGGTCCTGTAGTCTGCACCATAATGAGAGAGGGGGACAGTGGCTGTTTCCTAATAGAAAATAAAGGATTGGTTTCCATGTCTTTGTACATTTGAATGCAAGATGGCCCACTTGAAACTAATTCATATTGTTAGGGAAAGGAGCTTCTCCCGTCACCCCTCCACTGTCATAGAACGACGCCACATTAAAGGCTCCACTGTGCTGACTGCAGTGCCATATCCAGCTTTTCCATCAAAGTTGGTTTTTTCCCCTTGAAAAATGCTTACCTATACTCTGGCTGTCCACCGCACAACCCTAACTCTCCTACCCCCTTGCCAAAAAAAAAGCAACTGAAATTGAATTTAGATTGAAAAACAAATCAAGCCACCAAGTCACATGTGACATACAGTGCAGTGGAGACCTGTCCCATCCCAAGTAAACTCATCCGTGTCCAGACGTTCAGGGCCCCGTGCATGGAATGAGATCACCTGGAAACGGAGCGGTTGATGGTTGTGTCTGTGGACGTTTTAAACATGCAGCTGTGTGTAAGCATGCAGTGTGGACACATAGAGAATATAAATCCCTGGCGAGTTTTTCTGTGGTTATTAATGTTCTTACTTTACAGGAAAGACATTAGGTCATAAGGAAGTTCATAACAGAGAAGGGAGGGGTGCTGTTCCTGAACATAGAAGAACTAGGAATCTCCTTTCCTCATTAGACACTTCACCAAGATGAGAGATGCTCCCTAGACTCATGTGCAGGCAGGTGCGCTGGCACCCACATATCCATGGCTCCCCCGAAGGGCTTATCCCACAAGTAACAACCTTCAAACCTAGTATTGAAGGGTTCCTTGGTGGGTAAGATGTTAAACAAATCAGGAATCGTCATAAGGAGGAATCCAAAGAATCAATAGTATAGAAAGAATTGGTCCCATCCAGTTATCTTAGGAGGTAGCATGCAATGAGGGACTGATAGAGTGAAAAGAAGAAATAGAAATTACAGAGTCAGCAAACTCCACTTATTCCCATTAAGTTAGAACTGACTAGTAATTGGCTCTCGGCAGATCCTTGGAGGCTGTAAAGGACATGGGAAGAGACTGTCCAACCTTTTTCTGCAGAGCATCAGGTGGATTGGAACCACCTGGGGTTAGGTTAGCGCTGCAGCCCCGTCCAGACCACGCCACCAGCGCTCCCACAGCTGCCACACACACCGGGCACATGAGCAAGAAGCAAAGGTCCAGGCATTGTCTGAGCCTCAGTCGAGCAGTTTAAACAGGTGGATGCAGTGCCAGAATTTTGCATTCATGCGGGCCAGGAAGTTTGGACATGAGCATTGTGACCTGCCATATGAAGACACCCGTATTTGTGCCCATTCCAAAGAAAGCTGACCCTACAGAATATGGAAATTATGGAACAGTATCATTAAAATCACATACAGGTAAAATCTTACTGAAAATCATTTTTAAATGTTGCAGCATTACACAGACATGGAACTTCCAGAAATGCAAAGCCTGGTTTATAAGAGGACATGCTGCGAGGAATATCCTTGCTGATCTCAAATAGACTCTACTGAAAGCAGGGAATACCAGCAAGACACGTACTTGTCTTGTATTGACTAGACAAAGTAATTTGACTGTATGGTCCATCACAAATAAGAAGTAACAATGCAAGGAATAAGAATTTCCTGACTGTGTTTGTGAGGAACCTGTACTTAGACCAAGAAGCTGTCATTTGAACTCTATTCTCAGATGGTAGGGCAAGATCAAGGTCTTGGGATTTTAGTATTTTACATGCTTACTGGACCCACGTGCAGAGCAAATAATTTGAGAAGATAGACTGTCTGAGGAAGAGCAGCAGGTCATGGGCTGGAAGAGGACCCTCGACCAGTGAGTACTATGAAAATGATGGCATTACTTTGCTTGTTGAATGGAGAGAAAACTGGAAGCACTTTCTAATTAAGCTCCAAGGCTCTAGCTTTCACTGTGGGTTATGCTGGAGCACAGAGAGACAAAAATGCTCACACCACCAACAGTATAACATCACGATACTTGAGAGAGGATTGAACTTTGAGGGGTTTCATTCTTCTTACACCCACAGTCCATGCCCGTGGAGGCAGACACACTGTATCACATTGGGCAAAGCTGTTGAAAAAAGACCTCTTGTCCCCTTGAGGACTGAGGAGTGCCACACCCAAGACATGGTATTTCCTCAGTCCCCTCATATGCTTGTAAAAGCTGGACTAAAGAAGACAGCAGATGTCTTTCAATAGATGTCTTTCTACCAGAAGAAATAACAAATTTGTCTCATAAGAATTCCAGCCATGCCCTTTCCACAAAGATGGCGCCGAAAGCGAAGAAGGAAGGAAGCCCCTGCCCCTCCCAAAACTGAAGCCAAAGCAAAGGCATTGAAGGCCAAGAAGGCAGTCCTGAAGGGCGTCCACAGCAAAAAAAAAAGAAGATCCGCACATCACCCAAGTTCCGGCGGCCTAAGACGCTGAGACTCCGACGGCAGCCCAAATACCCCCGGAAGAGCGCTCCCAGGAGAAACAAGCTTGACCACTATGCCATCATCAAATTTCCCCTGACCACTGAGTCAGCTATGAAGAAGATAGAAGATAACAACACACTTGTGTTCATTGTGGATGTCAAGGCCAATAAGCACCAAATTAAACAAGCTGTAAAGAAGCTCTATGACATTGATGTGGCTAAGGTCAATACTTTGATTAGGCCTGATGGAGAGAAGAAGGCCTATGTTCGACTTGCTCCTGATTATGATGCTTTGGATGTTGCCAACAAAATTGGGATCATCGAAACTGAGTCCAGCGCGCTAATTCTAAATGTAATAAATTTTTCTCACCATAAAAAAAAAAAAAAGAATTCCAGCCATAATTTAGCTCCTTATAAGAAAGAATAGTGAGACATACATCTCCACATACTTTGAACACATTTTCAGGGGGATTGTTCCCTAGCGAAAGGATACCATGCTTTGAGCAGTGGACAGGCTAGTTGGGTTGACACGGTGACTTGTAAAGAGAGCACAGACTCAGGACTGCAAAGGCGAGGGCAGTGTGCTGGTCTGCTGCTCACGGGGTGCTGTGAGCCGGAGCTTCCTTCAGGAGAGCGGAAGAACAGCCACATTGGGTAACGTTCTCATATTGGCCCGTAGTGTGCCTTACGAGACTAAAAGGAAAAGTAACCAATCTGCTTCTAGTGTAATTTGAGGATTGATACAGGTGGTTTGGAAGATTTGTATTGAAAGTTGACCGAATCACTAAATGAATGGTCATAATTGAACTTTGTTTTTCCTAGCCCATCCACTTTGTTTTTTCTGTGTTGAAGTTATGATACCACAGAATACTTATGGTCCCTAAAATGAAAGTTAAGAAGAATATTTTTAATTCTGCTATATGTTTGTTAAGTGATAATAAGCATTAGGGAACTGTATTTAACATTCATTGTTGAAAACTTGCATTAGTACATGTTCATTTAAATCAGGAAGGAAGCTTTCCCATACAGGGGAGGTTTTGTGATCACCCACATTAGCCAGCCTTTCTTGACTTACTAATTTTTTAATTTATTTCTTTTTTTACCTTAAGAGAGCAGTTACTTTTCTAAACCTCTTGAAAGTGAATTTCTGTTCTGAAACTCCAACCACAGCCGACAGCCTCCAGCAGAAGCGTCGGAAGACTTGTTGTGTGTCACGTCTAAATTAGTAAAGTAGATACACGTAGATAGAAATGATTTGTGTTATTTCTAGAAAAATGTTTTGTGACTTCGTTGACGCTCCACAGTTAGCCTTTTTACTTGGTTCTGCTTTCCTATGTGAGCCTTTTGGGATAAAGCTGCTGAGTTTGCCAGCATTTCCTGCCCGAATATACTGCAGTCCAAAGATATATTGCATTTATAAACTACAGGGCAAAATGTTAGCTTGGATAAAAATACTCCACCAAAGAATGCACATTTATACACTCTTAGAAAACCCTGCCCTGCCTCTCTAATTGTTGCATTGGTTTTCATTTAGGACCCATTGTTCATGATGCAGAATCCCTAGATTTCTTTTTTTTAATGCCATGAAAGTTTGAGAAACATAAAGTGCACTGAAATGTTATTGGTTCTGAGTAATGGGAATTTTATTGTTACTCAGGACCCTCTCTGTTCAAAGAGATGGTTTAGTTCATATTATTAAGTAGAAAGTTGTTTAAAAAGACCCTGACTGAACCCAAGGAAGCCCATCTACTATCCTTAAGTTGTTAGAAAATTCACTGTGTTTTATTTACGCAGAATCATATACACTGTACATTAACTATTCCAGGCAATCTTTACTCAGTTCAGAGAGGCCAGATGTATGGGAATTGTAAAAATCAAGATATGCATAAAAACTGTTCAAGTGCATAAAGCAGCCCCATCTGGAAGACATCTAACAGAAATGAAGTTGTACAAAACCATTCCATTGATAATAAAGCTAATTTTTATGGGTCTGACAAGTATGTAATTATGTTCACTGGTGCTTTTCAGATTTTATCACAGTCAATAAACCGCAGTGGTAATTTCATTCCCATTTGACGTATTTACATGGAAACATTTGATTGGAGGAATTAGTAACCCTGAAAGCCTTGATAGATATGTTTTAATGATCTGTGGCCTCTGCAGTCCCTCATCTGTTTATTGTTGCAACAGGCGAGAAGTCGTTTCTGTGTGACCTATGTGGCTTCGCTGGCGGGACCCGGCACGCTCTCACCAAGCACCGGAGACAGCACACAGGTCAGTGAGCTGCGGGCATTACACTCTGCAGCTGGGGTGCTGGCCAGCGAGGCCCATGCCATGCAGGGGCCAGGGGAATCCCAGTCTGCCTGTCTGGCTAATGGAAAGTTTAAATGATCAGCTTTTATATGTTTGGAAAGCAGGCTGACTGCAGATTTCAGGGGTCATATGCCTGATAATTTCTGTCTAAAGTAGGGGGAAAAAAGAAAGTTTGGCTCCCAACACCCAGATTCGCCATCCATCCCAAACACTGTTGCTTGGTTGCTTCACACTCAAGAGTGGCTCCGTCCAACACAGTGGAGTGGTCCCAGTGGGCTACCGTAGCTGGCACTCTACACTGGACTACGCTGTCTCCACTCTTCCACTGTGTGATTAGTGGCTTTGAACCATTGACCTTTTGATTAGAAACGGAATTCTTTTAACCGTTGTAGCCACCAGGGCTGTAGGCTCAGGGCTTCCTGGATGAATACTGGGGAGTCTGCCCCAACTCAGGCCCCCATATATCTCCCTCCTTGGAGAGGGACATCATGCTTGGGAGGGTGGAGGGACAGCGCAGGAGGGGAAGACCCTCTATGAGATGGATTGATTCGGTGACTGGGGTAATCGGGATGGGTGTGTCAGAGGCAGTGTGGTTGGCGCAGGATAGAGCAGGGTTTAGGGCTGTTGTGCATAGGGTTGCTGTGAGTCGGAAACGACTCGACGGCACATAGCAACAACAACACCCCATTTACTACCTAAGGGCCCCCTCTGCACGTCCCTCGCCTCCATCCCGCCCCTCTGGCTGCTCTCTGCCACTTGTTCCTGAGTGAGGTGACCTGCAGTTCGTGCTGCAGTCAGCCCTGCTGTCCAGAGACGCCACAGTAGATCTAGGCTGAGGGGCGTCTCCCCTGCAATGTGCTTTCCTACCTGGTCAGCAGAGTGCCATCCTCAGGTTGCCCGTGAAAGGTTTACCAAATGTGTCATTGACCTCACACACTCCTAGTGAGCCTCACAAGCTAGGTGCAGGTAAACTGTGCCTAGCACAGCCCTGCTTTACGTCTTTTATCCCTTGAAATGATTCTTAACACCACTTTCTACTCTCGGAAGTCTTCTAGTTCAGGTGATGATGAATCATGTGTTAACGTACTTTTTTTTTTCTATAATTATATTTTATTAATTTTCATAAACATTTACAGAGATTTTGGGCTTCCACTCATTCATTGTTGCACTATTCTCTCTACCCTCCTCCCAGTTTGTTCTTGTCCAAATGCCACAGTGCTTGTCAAAGCCAGTTCTGATTAATCTTCTTTGTCAGTGTGTCCTTTGCCATTCCCTATCACTCCTCCCTGAGAGAGACTTCACCCTGATTCATAAGGAAAAGGGGATGGCGTATTCTCTTAGCTACTTCCTGCTGAAAAGGGACGCTGTGGGTTTCAGGGTGAAGATCTTCTCTCACTACTCTAAAGGGCCCCTTTGGCAGTAGGAAACACATAGACTATTATGGAGATTGATTTTGGAATTTAGATGCACTCTTATTGATTGTGCTTGGCCGTACATGTTCATATCCTTGAAGATGTATCATGGGGGTGTTGCAACCTAGAAGACACAAATTTGACTAACAAGTTATAAGTACATGAGTCCAAAAATTATGGAAAAGTAAAAGAAAAGATTCTTCCATTGCTCTACAAACCCTCCCCCAGGTCCCCTCCACCATGTCGCCCTCGCTCTAGTCTCCTGTGATGACAGAAATACCTAGTTATATATCTCTTTTAAACAGTTTTCTCCCTCCTCTGTTTCAGTGCAGTATACATTATTGAACCCATCCTACTCAGTCTCTCCCCAACCCCAAGGACAGTCCCATTCTACAACGTTAACGTACATTTTGAACTGGGTCGTACGCTTTCTGTGGGTAACGTAAGAATGGTCCAGTTGGGCAGCCCTGGCATGTGAACTGGGTGGGGTGAGTACACTGTGCTTGATTCCTGCTGTACTCTACCTCTGAGATGCAGCTGTCTGTAATGTCCACTGCAGATCATTCACACAGTGAAAATGAGCGTGGGTTTGTGACTCAGGTGTCCAGGAGAGAAGGATTCTTTCTGCCTCAAGTGATGCTCTCAATGTTTGTTTAGTTTGTCTTTGCAAACATAAGCTTAATTTTGGAGGCAAGAGTCTCATTGTAATCTTATGGAAAAAACCCTCTGATGACATCATTTTTACCATTGAACTCAAAGCCTTGGTTTTTAAGATGACAGGTGAAGCCCAATTAGTGGCGACCTTCCTTCAGTATAGGGCACGTGTGTGGTCAGCTTGTTCATGCCGGATGCCTTCACTGGATGGATTCCCAGGTGGCCAACCTACTCCATCCTGGTGTCCGTGGGTCCACCTTCCTTGCAGGAGACCTCTGCTCAGGTGTGCTGTGATTATCCCTGCCAGGTCGCCTGCCAACAGGGCTGTGTCTGCATCATTCCAGAGGCTCTGCAATACACTACCGTTAACTTCATTCTGTGTGAAGAGCTCTGGTGGCATAGGAGGTAAAGCACATGACTGCTAACCCTGAGGTTGCTGGTTTAGTCTTCCTAGCTGCCTGGTAGGGAACAATGGCAGCCTGTCTCCATAAAGACTTGCAGCTTTGGAATGCTCTGAGATAGCTCTACCCTGTCACTGAGGGTCACTGCGAGTAGGAAGTGACTTGATGGCAGTGAGGTGGATTTTGTTTTATTTTAGTTCTGTTTTGTTGCACGTATAGGACAGTGTCTCAGAGATAGAGGTGTCTACCTTTGTGATGTTTGTCCCCTGAGGTACAAACCAAAGGTGATTTTTTAGAAACAACGATCCCTTCATAAAGCCGGTTGCCATAAGCAGATGCAGCTCAGCCTAGGCACCCAGCGTACTGCTGCACGCAGGAGGTTTGAGGCAGCCGCCTTGTGGGCATTTGGAGTCTCGATTTCTCGGATGGATCCCTCTTTGACACGGTCTTCCTTTCACCACAGTTTGCACACCTATTGTAATCAGCTCGAAAAGGCAGAGGTATCGGGAGCGTTCCAAGTGGCGTAATGATTCCTGGCTACAGTGTGGCCAGTCTTGGGTCTGACAGGAAAGAAACATCTTCCATTTCTGGATTTACTTCAGGGACCCCTGATTCAAGGACAGAGAACAGAGCCTCTTATGATGGCCTAGTGACCCTGGCAGCCCCAAGGAATGCAAGTACCAGAGAGTGTTCCTGAGAGTGCTCCACTGTCTGACCAGGTTGACACAGACAGGTCACTGCTCTGTCACCACGGCTGTCCCAGTGTCACACAGCTGCTGGAGGACTGGCAGTGCAAAACGCTCCTTAATGCTTTCTTGGGCGAAGATCATTTCTCTTAAATGACAGCACACAAAACACACCAGTTTAAATCTGTGTGTGTGCTTCCATCATGTGAAGGGAGATGACGACAAGGCACTCACAGTGCTCTTCATACCCAGGTGGCCCCACTCCACGGCAGGCTGCCTCTCAGCTCACCCGTCCAACAGGGCTCAGTGCTCCAGATGGGGCCGTGCCACCTTATGTGAGCAAGGAGTGAGGCAGCCTCTCGTCCCGAGGCCTCGCCTAGGCGCACAGCCTCCTCCACAGAGTAACTGCCTCCTACCAGGCCCTTGATGGAGGTGCTGACGGAGAAGCTGAACAGCTTATTCTTTCACATACGCACTCCAGAAGTTGGGTTGATACTTTGACTATATATTGAGACTTACAATAAACAACGTCTGTATTTCTGTAGTGCATTTTCCTGAAGAAATTACCTGAAAATGATTTAAAAAAAAAAAACCCAAAACCCCAAATTATGTTTTAGTATAGAAGTGTGGAATGTGTAACACTTTCTCAGAGTTCTAGATTTACTCTTGTGTACAGATTTAAATAAAGCCGCATTTGCAAAAACTGACATGAAAGTCTTCTGTCCGGAGCCTAGACGTGCCTTGAGTCTTCTTCCTTTTTGAATAGCTGCAGGATAGTGTTTTGTGTCACATGGTATACTGTAGCATCCTATTTTTTTCTGTCAGCTTGCATATATGTAGTTATGTCACTCAGTTTCATCTTTGTAGCTTGACCAAAGTAAAAGTAAAATCATAATCTATAGCTATTACCTAGTGTGAAGCTCAAATTATTATGTATAATAGAATATAAATGGCAAAAAGAAATTATTTTAAAGTTTTAAAAAATGTATAAAATGTGACAAATAAAAATTTACTGATAAATGGCCTTAAACCCTTTTAAAAAAATTTAGTTTGGTTAAGTCCTTGAATCAGTGCTATTTGGATATTTTAGTTGACCTTTAATTATACCAGTGAATTAGGCCATGGGGTCTGTGTTATCCTTTTTCCTGCAGATTCCTGCCAAATTCCTGAAAAATGGATAGTGTCAAGATTAATTTTTTCAAATTTTGCATTGTTTACCTAAGGCTGTTAGAATCAGTAAGTTAACAGTGATGTATGTTGCCAGAACATGTTTCAAATATGTAGATTGACTAGACTTCAAAATATAATTGATTTGCATAATGCAGGTTGTTGTAGTTGGCTTTTTGTTTTTTAAAAAAAAGCTTTAGTTGTTTGATAACTTAGATGGGCTAGATGAGGCTCAACATTTGAGAAACAACTTTTTGAAATTGGAGAATTTCTCTTCTCTCTGACTTGAAGTGTAATTCTCAAGCTACACACAGTATACTGGCATAGTGGATAAGGAGTTTCACTGCCAACCTCAACACGGGCAATTTGAGTCCACCAGTTGCTGCACCGGGCCTCTGAAATTCTCTGGAGGCCCAGCTGTATGGGTCCACTACAACTTGACGACATATAACATATCATGATGGTACCAGCATGGCATAAAGGGAGCCACTAGATCAGTTAGGAAAAACAGAGTCTACATGTAGACACCACACGTAGCTTTCAGTTGTTTTCCACAAAAGGATAAAATTTAAGAATAAAGGTAACAAAAGATGTGCAGAGCCCTTCCAGTAGCAGTTTTGACACATTATTAAAATAAATTG